GTGCAGCGAAAAGAGTCCACGTGAATCGATGATTAGGTTTAGTGACACGTCCAAAAATCTATCTACAAAGCTGCAAAGCAACGTGAGGATAAGAAAGTTATTGCAATGATCGATTCTTTTGGGGAAGACTTTCCCTTGCCAAAGTACGAGTGTCATCAAAGATGTTATAAAAAAAATACTCACGGCAAGTTAAAAGTCAAAAAGCCAATACGTGAGTGACAGCAAGAGTCAACAAGAAAAACAGATCGAAGAGGTATAATTCGCGAAATTCTCTTTATCAGTAAGACGCTAAATATAATTAAAACTTACAGTTGATTAAGTAACTTGTGTAAAAATATGTAGGTAAGATATTGGCAGATCACGAGTGTTTTGTGAATGGAAGAAAAAAAACCAACAAAAGGTGGAAGTGGTAATGAGCAAATGGAAAAATGCGAGGCTGACAATGGTGCACGACCTTTGAAGGATGCTGCTCTATCATTCGATTTTCCACATTTGCAAACAGAAGTTGGGGGTTCAGAATGGCAGACAATCTTAGCAAAGGAGTATTTTTATCACAGATCGTGTTATAGGGAAATCTGCAAAAAGCGCAAGACAAAAGCAGTGTTTTCAAGCAATGCTAAAACCGTTTTTCAGGAGCTATCTGCAGTCATCGAAGAGAAGGTAATCCTTGGGTGTGAAGTTTGGCGAATGGTGGATTTAACTAAGAAATCTTTGGAAATTGCAGAACGTTTATTTGGTGCTGAACATCAGCTTAGCTCACCAAAAGTACAAAAGCTTAAAGATAAGATCCAGAAATATTTCGGTTCAAAAGTTGGGTTTTGGTGTCCAAAGTACGGCAGTGAGTATTTGTTTAATAACAATGTTGAAAAGAGGCAGTTAGTTGAAGTAGCTGTTAAGGCAAAGGTTTTGATCTATAAATGGGACGACTTATCGCTGGAGGAGAAAGCGATGCAAGTTGCCCATGAAATACGTAAACAATTATTGGAAACTCCCAGTACTTTTAGAAGTTGGCCACCACCAGAGCACGAGCTTCTGTCCAAAGAAACAGAAATTCCAATATGTTTGTATTTTTGTAAAATTCCAATGTTAAGAGCATCTTTTTTGGAAGGAATCCTCACTAATAAATCAACGAAACCCGCAAAGGTGATGCGTTTAGTGTCTTTAATTGGACAAGATCTGATCTACCACGCCAACAATGGTTGGAAAAAAATCAAAGCATACAAACTTTCCTTTCTGCATCAAAAGAAAGACTGGCTCCAAAATAGTTATCAACTGGACACAAATGTTTGGCCTTGGGATGTTTTATGATGATGTGCTTATTCTTGAAATTTCTCTGGCAATGGAACATTCAAAAGACCAAGTTCACAGGTCCTTCTCTTCAGCCATTATTCAGCCTTCTCAATTCGTCACTTTTGTTTGAGATAACAACAAAATCAATCCCGAAAATCTCAAAGGGCTTAGTTTGCACTGTACGAATGGCATTGTCATCCAGCCATCAATTTTGTAATAAATGAGCCCCAGCCCTCTTCTGTAGACGCCTTAGTGTCTCCACAGTCATGTATGAAAAGAAAAACGAAAAAGTTCGAACCTCTTTTAACAGAGATACCTTCGTACGTTCATGTGAAGCGCAAAAACACAGAAGCCACGACTACCATTTAGCTACGCATGCACACAGACGAAGTAAAACTCTCGTAATATTTTGATACGCTTTGGATCATCGCCAGAACACAAGTCAATCAAACAAATTTTGAGCAGCAGATACCTAGTTGGTTAAGCTTTAATTTTTTGTTGAGCGACAACGACAGCAACAGCTACCATAAAATTGGATACCTGCCGTCGATTAACTAAACTCCAACGTCCCATGATACTGTTTTGGAACTCCTCCGTCAATCAAACGTGAAGGCAGAAAAACTTGGTTTGATCGAAACAGATGTGGTGCTAGAAATGGCAATATACGCTAAGGCTGTGGAAGTTAAGACGAATCCAAGGTACATAGATCTTAAGCTGTTGGTTATTTGTGGCTTGGCGGTTTCATACAATGTGTATATTCATTGCTGTTATTGGAAAGAGGTTTGCTGATGCTGGTCTTCGCGACATCGTAATCGAGGCAAATCTTTTTGGTGAATCTTCCGTTGACCACATGCTTAAAGGAAAGCATTATAACAACGCAATCCGAATCCTAAAATACCTGTACGACGCTTTCAAAAGACTCATGATTGATAGTTTTAAACAATCAAAAAACGACCAAACAGAGCAGACGAATGAGCTTTTTGAAAAATTAGTCAACTCAATTGAGTTAGAAAAATTCCTTTCCTCTCCAACAAAGCAACTCTTAGAAAACCTTAGCCGACATCACGCCAATCTGCTCGATGAGTTACAAAATTATGAAGATTCTGTCTTAAATGGTTCTTTGTATTTCACAATTTCACGACATCTATAAGGCTGGCGTAATATTTAATCAAATTTTCTTTAGCGTCTGAGTCCACATTTCAATGTTTGCAAGAGATTTCCAAAAATGCAAATACTGTTAAAAGCAGATGCCATGTTTTTGCTGCCTGTATAGAAGCTATGGTGCAGTAAAAAAATATCTCATGGAATTGAAAAATACGCGCCGGTCGATGTTAGCAATGAAATTTACGCTAAAATTAAAAATAATCTAAATAGAGAAATTTTTTATTATAATTGACAAGTGATAGTATAGCTTCTCTTGCAATTAGGAACACATGGACTCGCGAGCTTTTCAAAGACTTCGAATTACAATCGGACTTTTAATCTCTTCAAAAAAACTCAGCTCGTGATGTTTTTCAAAGTTGCACAAAATGTTGCGCTTTTACCAACACAAAACAATTATTTGAAGTATATGCCTCCCCTCTCCAATTGCAACTGATAAACTTAAATATATGATTAACATAGAGAAAGAAGATTCAGGGGGCTTGTGGAGCAGTGCCCTCGTTTGGTGTGATTATGTATGGAGACTATATATACATGTTGTTTATCAAAAAATCAAACCATTATATTTATTTAGAAAGCAATGTCGAAAGCAAATAAACAAAATTATATAATGCCTAAAAATTAAAAAGCTGCCTTAATGAAGAATGAAAATTTTTAGTACGTGAACACATATAACTTTTATCTAAATGAATTTAACTGATTCGCTACTTTTCTATTTGCTTCAAAGCTGAAAACTGACATCAAAAACAAATCACCTTTTCTCATTGAGTGGTTGCACAGACTTGTCGATAACATATTTAATACCATGGCTGCCTCAATTTCTATTTTTCTAGTAAGACAAAATAACAACGTGCTTAGCTGATTAGAATTCTCTTATTTATTTTGAAAAGTTGTATTACAAGTAATGTAACGTCTGTTATGACTTTTAAAGATGCAGTTTTTTCGTCTCACAAATCGAGAATGTTAGTGAATAAAGCGTATAGTTCATAAATTATTTTCTCAAATCAATATCTCCAACTTTGGACGTAAAAATATATAATAAATTTTTGGTCACCCATGTCGACTAGCCTAACGTCTTGAGTGGAAAACTCAAGACAAACGTATCCACAATAAATATCTAAAATTGCAAGAAAAGTAAAATGCCTATGGTATTATCTTAGGCTCTTCATTTTATAAAGTCTATAATAGGTACACTAATATGACATTATAGCTAGACAAAGACTAGTAAAGGTGCAACATACAGCAGCCAGTATGTTTAATGTTACCGTTTGCTCTAAAGCTCTTGTCACAGTAATAATCAATAAATTTGCTGCTCATTTCCATTTCGTGATTTAATAATTATTTTATTAGCACTAGCCTCATTTTCTTCGAATTTCTTGTTGTTAAAATTTACAAACTTATCGATAGGCGACATGCACCACAGTATTAAATAGAAATTCACGCTTCAAAAGATTTCGTATGAATTCGTACGCATTTGTTATGGCAGGAGCTTAACATTGTCTTCCACAATATTTTGAAGTCTTTTCGATAAAACTGTTTCGATAAAAACGATTTTTCACTAACGTGGCTAAGTTATAAATAAACACGTAAGAATAAAAACTCGTGTTGTATCACGTTTTCACTCAATATTCATTTGCCTTAAAAGCACAACAAAAACGGGGAAGTTTAAAAATTGTCTACAAAAACAAAGAGCATTTTGTCTTTGCCCAATGAAATCTTGACTTTAGTCAAATGTCATGAAGAAGTTAAGGAAAATTTACATAAGAAAGGTGAATAACAACAAGTTGCTGAAGGAAACAGACACAAAAGCTATGATAAAAACATATCTGCATCCGTAAGTTTCGTTCAAACAAAGTTTCCTTTCAAACAGTCAACAAGGCAAGAAAAAGAAATTTGGTGAAGTTAAAAAATCATAGGCAAATAATGCATCTAGCATTTATTTTGGTCACATCATTTTTTCTGATCATTTGCGTCAAAGCACAGACCAAGGTAAGCATAGCTTAATAACATGTGATGAGTATATGAATGTGTAAGAATATTTAAATAACGATGGAGAAATATGAACAAAACTCATCTTTATTAACTTTTGATTTGTTTCATGTTGCTTTTTTATAACTACCTAAATTGGTAGAGATACAACCATGTCGATCTTCCAGTAAACAGTCAAACATATGCACAAGCTACGAAGCGTTTGTTGTGTTTTAACTGTTTCTTTCAACCATTTTTAATCCACAAGACTTTCAAAGAATCAGAATTTACTACCGCAAAATCGAACTTTCGTTGCATTGAGCATTGTCTGAATTTTGTAGGAATCAAATTATCATATGTATACAAAATGTTGGCCAAATCAGTATCAAACATACAGAGTTGCACTTCAGCTTTGTGACAGAGGATATTGGAGGACTTATGGTCATCGCAAAACAAAGTACAGTCATCCAGCAGGTAATTAATTGGAGGTCTTTAATTTCAAGCACAATATCTTTCAACCTTTGTTTTATTTCATATGTCGATCACGAACGAAAACACGAAAGTCGTGCGAAGATATTTTAACAAAACATCAATCAGCAATCTCTGAGTCTACATGATCCAAACAAAAAATAATAAGCCGTTCACAGTATATTGCGACATGAAGACACAGAGAGGAGGCTGGACACTAGTTTATAGCTACACTTTTACAAACTACAAAAGCTTTACGTCTGGTTGCAATGCTGTAATCCCTAGACCTAACTGGCCTGCTAGTGGTGTAACAGTTCCAGTTTCAAAAACTCCTCCACTAAGCAAATCGTTATTTGGAGCAATGGATTGGAATCTTTGGAAGGAAATTGGAAGCGAGTTCATGGTGACGTCAAACATTAATCATTGGATTGTTTGTGAACCTGGAACTGGAAGTTTGGTGGCAAAGAAAAATGGAGTTATTTTATGTCGAAATGTAAAGAATACTCCTTCTGCCTGTAAAAACAGGGCTCCTTCGTCCATCCGCTGGCTTTCAACTGGCCCGACTTAAAAGACAGTACTCATTTTTATTTTTTTGAAGGCAGCACAAGCACATATTGGCCTACACACAATCCATGTGGCACCAACCAAGGTAATCAAAAGAAAGGTGTTTCTGATCTTCAAGGAAACATTTATATTTGATAGATGTAACAGTAATTACCATTACTTTAATCTCGTAAATTTGTTTTCTGTAAGCAGTCTATTAAACGATAAACTGAAACAAGTAGAATCAAATCTCAGCATATCAGTAAATGTGTAGTTTACTTTTAAAAATTAATGAAATATATTCCAAGAAAGACATCTTGCTACCTCAAGATATAAGTTTTGTGAATACTCCCCTTCAGAACATTTTCAAACTTTCATTTAATAAAAATTAATGCCCAACATAAAGCTTTAATTATAGCCATTGAGATAAATCAAGTTCTAAAAAGGTTGTAAAAATAAATTATTTGAAACTCATCCCGCCAAACTCCTAATAATATACTCAAAGACAATAGTCTTCACTTTGTAGCACAAAAAAAAGCAATTAAGTGTAATATCTACAAGGTTTTGTTTGGTTGCCCCCAAAAAAATAACCTAATCTAGTGAGCCTGCAATGTATTTGAGAGCAATAGTAGATACTTTTTACGAAACGGTAAGTTAGATCTAAACTATACACACGTGTTTGAACGGAAACCTTTGTACTTGGTAATTGATACTAAGGCCATGTCCACACGTATACGGATTTATAAAAGTACGGAGATCTTTTCCTACGCTTCTGAAAAGATTTGCGTCCACACGTAGCGTATTTGAATCGTTTTCACCTGTCCACACGTATACTCAAAAACGGAGGAAATTCAATACTTGTAAGCACTAAGCATGCGTATTTACGTGTAATAAGTGATTCTTCAAGCTTTTGCAGCATCAAATTGCAATATGTATTATTTAGATTTATTAACGTCTCTTTTGTATCGTGGGGCGCTCAATTATTGACGTCATTGTTTTCAAAACCTCCGTTTTCGGATCCATCAAATGGATTAGTCAAGTACTTTGAAAGTATGACAAATCCACCAGCACACGACTGATACGAGCACGGATTAACGACTGTCACAGACGAATCAACTATTACATCAAACAACAAGAACAAAGGCTGAACAAAGTGAAAGAACTCATATTAACGACAGTAAGTGATACTTTACTTTCTACGATACAAACTATTGCAGAGAAACGAGCAAACAAGACAGAGACACAACACCAAATCAAACAACAACAAAAACTTGAACGTTTAAAACAAACTAAAACACGTACAAGACACAAACATGATGATAACTGGGTGAGGAATATTTCTTGCCGCTCATTAGATGAAACTGAAACGCGACTACTATCTTACGGAGTAAAACATTCCATAACACCTAGACGAATCACGACTGAGACGATAGTATCAAGTGTCGAGGCTGTCCTAGCGTATAAAAGAGACTTGTCAGGGACAACCAAAGACGAGATCAGAAGCAGGATAGCCTCCACTTTACAATCGTCCTCTATACGTGACAACAACTTGACAAAAGACGAACAACAAGCACTCAAAGGACTAAAACACGACAAAAACATCGTCATTTTACCAGCAGACAAAGGAAGCGTGACTGTGGTCATGGACAGAAATGATTATTTCGACAAAATGGACACCCTTGTTAACGACAGACAAACGTACAAACAACTTAAACGAGACCCAACACCATCACTAGTACGCAAACTTAACAGCAAGATCTTCTCTATGAGAAAATCTAACATTATAACTGAACGTATTTACTATCGACTCAGATGCTCAGTACCACGACCACCCAGACTATACGAACAACCAAAACTTCACAAACCACAAATACCCATGCGACCAATTGTATCATTCTGTGGTTCGCCTACTTAAGAACTTTCAAAGTACTTGACTGACATACTGCAACCACTTAGAAACAAATCAAAACACAAGCTACAATCCACTGAAACTTTCATTAAAAAACTGTGCACTATACAAATACCGGACAACTATATAGTAGTGTCTTTTGATGTGAAATCTATATACAAATGTCTTTTGATGTGAAATCACTCTTCACCAGTATTCCACTTAATCTGGCACTTACTTGTACTAAAACCCTCATTACAAACACCACGGACGTACTGCCATTACTGACAGAAGACATTATGGAGCTACTGGAACTCTGCCTCATCTCGACTTACTTCCAGTACAAAGGTACACACTACAAACGATTACATGGGACAGCAATGGGCTCACCCGTTTCTGTTATAGTTGCTGAAATTGTAATGCAATCTATAGAGGAACAGGCGCTCACGACTTATAAACATGCAATACCTTTTTGGTCTCGCTACGTAAATGACACAATAACAGCACTACATGCAGACGAGATTGATGACTTTCACACTCACATCAACAAACAGAACAGCCACATACAATTTACAAAAGATGTCGAAGGAAACGGAACTCTTACTTTTCTCGTTTGTTTGGTAAAACATGACAATCAAAAACTACGAACAACAGTTTATTGCAAACCAACACATACTGATCGACTACTAGACCAATCATCTTACAACCCTACATCACACAAAGCCACAACAATCAGAACATTAACAAGACTTGCACAAATCATATGTGATTCACCGGATGCTCTACACAAAGAAAACAACTATCTCAAACGAGTTTTTGACAAAAACAACTATAACTCTGAGTTTATCAAACACAACACTTACAAACCCAACGAACGCAACGAAACGAACAACTCAGTGGCAACAGCAACGATAGCTTACATCAATGGTACGTCTTAGACTATCTTGCGTATCTTGCGACCATACAACATACGTGTCGCACATAAACCAATCACAACGTTACGACAAGCACTAATGAACATAAAAGAGAAAGAACAACCCAACGAACGGCAAGGTGCAGTTTACAAAATAAACTGCTCCGACTGCCACGCCTCCTATATCGGGGAAACTGGCAGGAATTTAAACATAAGACTTAATGAACACAAACGAGCTACTAAGAAACAAGACAAAACTAATCACATTGCCGAACATCACCGAATCACAAAGCACAACATTGACTGGGATTCGGCAAAATGCATCACTTACAGTACTGACTATAGACAACGGCTTACATTAGAAAGTTGGTATACCAACTTGGAACAAACCCCCCTGAACAGATCACAGCAATTACCGGCACCTTACAAACGACTTATTCACAATACAAACAAACGATCAACTAAAAACATTACACTTCACACTAATTCCCAATGAAAATACACAATTGACATCCACACATTACAACTAAACACGTCACACCTAAATCACACATCACAACAAAAATAAAATATTTCACTTCACACTAATCCACAATGACAATACACATTTCCTGTACACACAATACAATGACGTAATAACCAGATAACAAATACGGCTAACCTGGCGTTTACTCCTCATTTGACTCTGAAGATGACTACCGCTAAGGTTGTCGAAACGTTAGTCAACAACAACAAAAACAGTCCTTCTCAGGACTTTATTAACCTAGACGATCATCATTTACAAACATATAAATACGGCTAACCTGACGTTAAAGGCCGATCTCCACTTCGACCGTATCGTAGCGTAAAGTAGTAAAACGTAACGACGAGCCAGCGCACTGTCACTATCACTGAGGACGATTGATATCGAACGCGTCCAAAGTTTTAATACGCGTATCAAAACCAGAGTTCGCCGACTGTCAACATTTTTGAAACAAATTCGTAGTACGTTTGATTTGAACCAATGAAATAACAAGTTTTCTACTCAAGTTAGCTTGTTTTTTTTTTCAAAATGGAGTCGTTTGAGGAATGGCAAGACAATATAAACGAATTTTCCAGAGAAAAAGAAAACTCAGAGGCATCTGAGGCGGAATCTTTCAATAGAAGTAACAGCTAATCTACTGCCCGCGCTATAAATGTACAAGAACCTCCATTTTTGATTAACTTAATCTAAGAAGTGCGAAAATACCCTAGCATCTGGAACGTTTCGTCAAAGTTGCATAAAGACAAACCAAGGAAACTGGAAACATTGCGACGAATTTCTACTGCTTTGTGTGTACCTGGTATGTTATGTTAACAATATACATTGCTTAAAATTTTGGAACCTAAAAGAACAAGATACCTAGTTTTCATAAGCACAAAATCCTTAAATTTATAAAACAGGTAAAACTCTAATAAAATACAGTAGCCATTTATGTAATCACTACAGTTCTTGGTCCAGCTTTTGCAATTGAAGTGTGTCCTACATTTACTATTGAGTGTGAAAATTGTATTGCTATTAACTGCCACTTGTTGGGTATAAATTTATGTCTATTTAAATGTGTTTGATTAGAAATATCTAGTTATGTGGGTTTTGCTTTATTTTATTCAATACTTCAGCTTACAAAACTTATACAACAGAGCCATTATGAATAAAAACAAGCAAGCAGTACATATTACACCTTTTATTTATTAAAACAATATATTATTCAAATGTGATACTCACCCATGCAATTATCACAGTGACATGACACTGATCATCAATATGCCTGTTAATTAAGAAATGATAGTATTAAATGAGCTTTATATGGAAGTTGATATTCATTGATAAGAATAAATATGTCCCTTTTGCAACATTAAATATTAAATTTGGTGTAGCTCACTATTTTTTGCTGCATTGTACCTGTAACCATCCTTATATTGCAATTTCCTTATCATACTCTTCTTACATTTGGTATATGGTGCAAACCATTCCCATCCTAAGAAGGTCTTGTCTGGTGTTAGACTGTAAGAAATACTAATGCATTCCTTCTTATTGGGGTTAAAACTGAGTCAATTCGCATGGGCCATAGCTAGAGAACTAAATTGGGAGAGGGGAGGTTTGTTTTTTCATAGATTTATTTGAGCTTGACTGATTTCTTTAGAAAGCCAAATCATTTTCAAAAGAAATCAGTCTAACGCTACTGAATATAAGAATAAACACACCTCCCCCCATTTATTGTTTTAGCTATGGCTCTGCAATTGGCTACTAAACAACTATGTTTATGAAGGGCATAACATCTTCTAACAAATGCACTGAACAAAGTTTAATATACAGGTTTTTATGTTTCTAAAACTAGAGAATGTAGTTTGTAGAGAGTTTGACAGGCTGAAGGATAATTATAGAAGATGCATTAAAAAGCGAGAGTTGGCGACACGATCAGGGAGTGGGGCAAGTAAGAAATTGCCAACTTGTGAATATTTCGTTGAGTTGTCCTTTTTGTGTGATGTGATGAGGATAGAGCATTTACATTATTTTCACCAATCACTGTGGACAATTCCCATGCAAAACCAGAAATTTCAGACTCAGAACCTCTTCAAAAGACTCGGTAAAGGCGATCAGATCAGATTGACGATCTTTTGGCCTTAAGCCTTGCCAATAATATAGCATATGCT